TTTTTTTTTGTGCATTGGCGGGTTTTTAATCTATGATTATATATAAAAAAAACAACAAAAAAAAAAATTAAAACAAATCATTTGGCCAGTGGGGGCACGTGCCCCCATTGCCCCCACTGTGCCTCCGCCCCTGGTTGTGAAAATGATTTAAAAAACTACACTATAACGTTGATTTTTTTTACTAATAAATAAATAAATTACAAATGTTCTAAAATATTTTACCATGCCATTCTTATTCATCATACTTATAATATATTATTTGTCCAGCATTTAAGTGTTTCAATGATGTCCAATATTTCACTATTTTCAATAAATTTTTGTACTTAGAAGTTGCTTTCTATAGCAGCTTTTAAAAGGTTGTTTTCTCTATAATAGCTTTACAATCACATTTATAAAAAATTGCAGTCATCCCAAATTAACCTTAAATTGAAGTTTAAAAGATTATATATTTAATTTCAAATGTTTCAAATATATTATTATATAGAAATTCATACCAAATTTTAATTTCGGTATTAAAAAAAAAAATTAAAAAGCATGAAGAAAGTCATGTAAGGCTAGTTTGGGATGGCTTTCTTACTGCTTTTCAAAACAGTTTTCAAGCACAAAAATTTTTTAGTTCAAAAAAATATTTATATTAAAAAATATTTTTAAAAATAGTAAAAAATGTCTCAAATAAAATTCAACAATTATTTTGACTCGGTTATAATTTGAGTAATTGTCAAATTATTATTAAAAAATATTTTTCTATCTTCATCCAATCATAATAAAAAAAACATATACATATATGTCATACATAGCGGGGATTCCAATCTCTATATAACAATAATAAGTTTGAACGAATCAACGCTGATTGTTCCACAAACGTTAGAAAGTGATCAAACGCAAAATATATTATAGATTATAACCGCGGTGCGTTTCCGTGTAGGGGTGTCAACTTTTGACCCGATCTGAAAATTCGACCAGTCGTATTTCCGAGACGCTCAGTTCGACTATAAGCTTGCTGAAATCGGAGTTGGGGTGCTCTCGGAATTAATTTTTGAAGTTTCCAACTAGCTTTCGCCTCGAGATTTGTGCCCGATCAAACTAATTTTGTGATGCCGTATCAAAAATATTTAATTTTAGAAGTAAAAAATATAGAACAAAATTTTGAAGCATTTGAAACTAATTCAATTTCGATACATTTGAAAATCGTTAGATTTGGTCGGGTTTCACATGCACTATAATTTATTTGTCATCATCGCTCACCACAGTCCTGCCTCTCGCCACCAGCGATTGCTGCCGTTCGTCAAAACTACCACTGCATCCAGCAACCATTAACAACCGCTATTATTAGGCCTTTCAATCAACTTATTTTTCTTCAAGCTAAATGATTTAAAAATAATTACTAGTATTTATTTTATATTATTCAAATAAGTCTAAATTATTTCAAAGATAATATATTTGAAATAATTTAGACTTATTTGAATAAGTCGAAATTAACCCCCAATTATTAAATTACAAATATCTAATATTTTCTTATCTCGAGGACATAAGATTAAAAAACCAATAAAAAAGTGGACATAAGGTTGGTTTTGATTTAAATTAAATTATTTTTAGATAAATTAAATTAAAATTTTGTATTAAAAAGCTGCTTTAAGAAACATTAAAAAAACCGTCTCAAAATCCTCAATACATAACATACTGGAGCTAGGGGTGTCAATTCGGGTCAACGGGTCGGGTTCGGGTCGAACCCGGAACTGTTCGGGTCAACCCGAACCCGACACGATTCGGGTCCGGGTCAACCCGACCCGACACGAATGACCCGGAATTGACCCAAAATTGCAAGTTTTCGGGTCAAAAATCGGGTCAATCTTCGTTCTTCGGGTCAAAATCGGGTAAAAAATGAGTCAAACTCGGATTTTCGGGTCAAATATGAGTTTTCGTGTCACTTTCGGATCAATTTCGTGTTTTCGTGTCAACCCGAACCCGACCCGATTTTTAAAACAGGTTGATTTCTTCAACCCGAACCCGACCCGTTTCGGGTTTGGGTTGACCCGAACCCGGATTTTTCCGGGTCGGGTTCGGATCGGGTTTCGTGTCGTGTCAAAAATTGACACCCCTAACTGGAGCCGCTAAACATCCAAAATTATAATAAAATAAAAGATAAACAAAATCATAATTCATATTTCTTCCAAAATAATCACTTAATAATTTAAAATATATAAAAAAAAAACACAAATGAATACTGAACTATCAAAAGAATTTCACCGTTACTCAAAATCTCATTATAACTTCAACCTTATCAACTACTCTACTGCCTAAAAATACATATAAATTCGCAAAGTGAGCAATGACTTTCTTGATGGCTATCCCAAATCCTATCAAAGAAATCAAAGTCCTGAACTTGTATCATAAACATAAGCTTGATGTTTGTAAAAGAATAATGGATCATCAAAAGAATATCACTATTGCTTAAAATCTCCTTTGAACTTCAACCTTATCAACTACTCAGCTGCCTAAAAATACATATAAATTCATAGAGTGCAATGACTTAGGGTTCATGTGGGACGACTTTCTTACTATTTCTTGAAGCAACTTTCTAGTACAAAAGTTGAATTTTTTGTACTTAAAAGTTGTTTTAAGAAACAATAAGAAAGTTGTTCTAAACGAAACCTTACTCGATGGCTATCTCAAATCCTATCAAAAAAATCAAAGTCCGCATTTGTAGTTATATGAATAAAAGATTTCTCAAATTATTCAAATAACATTTATAAAGATAGCATATAATAACTTTATCATTCATGAAATGTTAACATTGGGTTTGCTTGTAGTTATATATTTAACTTTATTAGAGGGGTGACATATACATTTCTTTGACCAGGCTAGGACTTGTATCATAAACATAAGCTTGATGCTTATGTCTCCCTTGGTCAGCCCACACTTGCAGAAGGCAGATGAAGTAGACATAGCCTAATTCCATTTATAACTCTACTTTCACTTGTAACTTCTTTGATCATCTTACACCTGCACCAGACAGATGGAGATATATAAACGTGGATAGAACATAACATAATAGAAATAGAGACATGTAAGGGCCCTTATAGCATTATTTGTAGTGCACTTGAATAATTGCCAACATAGGGGGCATACCATTGAGTAGATCGATTTAATTTGATTTGAACTACTAGATTAACCTAATATAAATTAGATTTTATGGATATTTAGATGCACATGATGAATCAAGGAAAAAGGAGGAAAAATAACAAATGAGGCAAATATTTCATATTTTAAGTCTTAAGGCCATTTTCTATAAGTTTGACCTTAAATTTATATTAAAATGTTATAAAAAATTTTTCATGGTTGGGCACAAATCTCAATGTGCATTTGAATTTGAAACTTCTGATATTCAATTTGGGACCGCTTGGACTCCATTCAACAAACTTATATTAAAATCAAATGTCTCGATGGAATGAACCCAATCACACAAAAAATAATCCAATCCGAGCCCAACTGAGTTCAAATCAATGACCTAAAGCATAGTTGGAAACTTTAAAGTATAAATTAGATGATCAAATGATCTTTGAATATGATATGCTTTTAGTCTAATTGTGTGGTTTGACGAGACAAATCCAATATTAGTTAATTTTGAAATCATTTAGACACCTAAATGCTGAAAAAAAAACTTTCTATGACCGGGAAAATCAATTAGGGTTCTCCAATAAAATGCTTCTTATTTGCTTCATATTTTTTTTTCATATGTATGGGTCATGCTATCACAACCCAACCTAACAAGATTCCTATCGTCTTGAACTGTGACAGATAAAAGTGCAGTATAATAAAGCATTATACTGAATAAATTAATAAGAGCATAACAGTTATTTAAATTTAAATTATATGCTAAGCATTTAAAGAAACTGAAATTCATATTATAAAATAATTCACATAAGATTTTCCTAGTCTCAGACAAGATCTCAAAGGACTGTAGTTCTAAACATATTTATAACACCAGAACATGCTCATATGCATCAGAGTATGTCATATTTGCCACAATAACACGACTTTATAACCATCAGAATATATCTTATAGGTACCAAAATATTCCCTATTACAGACATAATCTCAAAGAATTCTAGCCTCTTATAAATCTCCAAGCTAACATAATTCAATTAAATAAGCACACATTTCTTCACATTATAGCAATAAAATCATAATTGGGAACATTTCATATTTGCACAATTTTCTATAACGATGTACAATTCAATTTTTTACTGAATAAATATACATAGTTTTAAAATATAACTAAATTATCAAAGATTAAATAAAATATTATTTTAAGATTTTAATCGAACAACAACACTATTTTTCATTGACCAGATTTTTCCTGTTTAATAAAAATGACACAATTTCACAAATTACGAGTGAAAATTTTTCAAAAATATTTAAAATGTTCAGAATCTCAATCTCTATAACATATAAAAAGTTATAAGATAAATATTTTTCTAGTGTAAAGTTATCCTAATTTTTTGATAACGAAAATATAAATTTAATCGAAAAATTCAAAAAAACATCATATTTTCGAAAACTAAAATAGACATTTTGTGACCTACCTTTAGATAACTTGCTCAGCTACGAGGACGACTAAAATAACCCGAAGCAGCTAGCAACTAAGAATTTGCAGTATATTTGAAACTTAGTTAAGTTTAATTATTTTTAAATATATCAAAATTAAAGTAGATGACACATTTTCAAATACTTAAAATTTTATTATATATTTATTTTACATCAAATCAAATATCATTATTTTTAAAATTCTATATTCAAAATATTTTACACTTTTTTAGTTCAAACTTTAGTGCCCTGAAAGAGAGGAAAAGACAGGAAAAATAAATAAATTGATAAAGCTATGCGCGACAGCCTAAGGGAGGAGTGACGAGGTCTATTTCTAATTTTTTATTCTTTGTGTATTTTTTGGCTAAAAATATTTTTCAACACGTAAAATTTTCATATTTAAAGCGACGAGAGCCTTAGTGGTGAAGCGAGGAAAGTCAGGAAACTGAGAGCAGGAAATGGCCGAAGGAGGAGGCGGAGAAGAAGAGCTAAAGCTCGACCGAACACCGACATGGATCGTCGCCGTCGTTTGCACCGTAATTATCTGCATCTCCCTTTTCTTCGAGCGATTTCTCCATCGCCTTGGCAAGGTATTGATAGTTTGATTTGTTTGGCTTATAAGTTTTCCATTTTTCCGATCAGTTTCTAATAATTCCATATTCGCAGCGATTCATGCGAAAGAACCAAAAACCCCTTTATCAAGCTCTTCAGAAGATGAAAGAAGGTAAGTAATCCCCAATATTGAAAGGCTTCTTCTTCTTCTTCTTCTTCTATTCGCACGATTTTGTATGGATGCTGAGATAGAAGGGTTTGGGGTTTTGCAGAGCTGATGTTAATGGGATTCATTTCGCTGCTATTGGTGGTATTCCAAGCAGCGATTCAGAAGATTTGTATCCCTGAGAGTTACACTCATCACATGCGGCCCTGCAAGAGCAAGGATCTCGCTGGCGAGGGGGGCGAAGTTGGCGCCGTCCGTGGTACCGCCCACTACCGCACCGATTTCTTTGCCGGCGTTGTTGGAGGCGGCCGCAGGCTTCTCGCTGGCGGAGGTTCTGGCGCCGAGCACTGCGCTAAAAAGGCAAGTTCGATTTTGCCTATTTATTTTTCCTTTTTCAACTGCAATGCATCGCTTCGATTGAAGGAAATAAACTGAAATCCTAGTAATTCTTGAATATAACAGTCTAAAATTGCACATCCGAAAATTCTGCATTCTGGATTATGATTGTTATTTTTACTATAAAATCAAGGGGCAAATTAATCATGATTTTTGAGTGAATTTTTATAAAGTATATCGGATTTCTATGATAATATGTCCGAAAAATAATCGAAATTTATGAAAATAATTTGATGGAATAGTACCAGATATGCAAATATTATTTAGTAATTCTTGATCTACTCTAAGACTATAACTAATTAACTAAATTCTCATTAAAAATTAGCTTATATCCTCAACTACTTAGAATTTATAGATTTATAAAATTAAAATTGAGCAAATTAAAAAATAATATTAGAAAGTTATTATGAAGTTCGATGATTAAAAATTTGAGAAATAAATATAAGATGTTAATTCTATAAATAGTAATATTTAGATTTTTTATATATAATTTTCCCTTTTATAATAATTTAAATCTCGTATATTGGGAATTCGAGAAACATTTGTCCGTTTGAATGTAAGAGGCCGTCACTCCGTCTTCGAAGTGGTTGGTCTATGTGCCGTTTAAGGCCGAGCATAGATCAAGCACGCGGAACGCACTAACGGTTTGATGGAGTTTGCCGGCGGCGTGGAGGATAAGATCAACCGTCGTGAACTGCCGACATCCGTGGATTTATATATACATTTAATTGCCTAAGATTTTCTTTTATATAAGAATAAAAAAATGTCTCCAATATTTAATTAGTTTTTTTTTTTTGGGGGACATTTAGCCCTATTAAGTCAAACTTATACCCATTTTGATTAGTAAATATACCAAGTTGAGTTATTTATTTAATTAGATGAAAAAAATGGTAAATCTATAACAGTCAAATTAACTGTAAGTTTAATATTTGACAATGTCCCCTAAATCAAAGCCCATTCAAACTGCAGAGTAGATGACCGTTAACGTTAAGACACCCTGTTTTAGGGAAACGGTTTTACGGAAAAGTCCCTTGCAAATCCAGAATTTTGAAATATATCTTGTTTCCTTGTAAACATACGTGATATGAAATTTCTCTATTTATAAAATTAATATCATATTATATCCATATTTTGAATTTTCATTAAAAAAATAAAAATTTACTACAAAACTTTAACGTATAGGTTTTGTTTTTGTCAAATTTTTAAAGATTTGCATTCAAATACATGAATTTGATAGAAAAGGAAAATGATATGTGTTGTTTTTAGAAATAGATTAATTTTGAATATTGTTTGATATAGGCTAACTATAATTTGAATATTAGATTTAAACAAGAATTTGACTTTTAATAGGACACAATGGAGGAAAAAGATTCATGTAGCCGACCCCAAGTAGTGGGATAAAGGCTTGATGTTCTTGTTGTTGTTGTTGTTTATTATTTAATCCCCTCTTTGTATTTTTATTTTATAAATTTCATTTTGTGTGGCTGTGGCCCATCTTCAGAGATATTGGAAGGTGTGGTAGCAGGTCCATCGGAGCAGACTTAAAATTGTTAAAACTTGAAGATAAATTTAAATGTGATAAGTTTGAAGAGTCGACGTTTTTCATTATAGAAAAAAAAAACGTTAATTCAATTTGACTTTAAGGTCCAAATTGCCTCAAATGAACTAATTGATGGAGAGAATTCAGATTGTTTTGAATTATTTTTGTAGACTGAATACCATTATTCTTTCAAAATAAAAAGCATGCCAACTATTTCTTTGCAATTGTGCTGTTAATAGTTATGTTAGAGAACATTGAGAATGGTCTCGTATTAATTAAAAAAAAAAACCTTTCTATGCATGTGAATTTAATAAATTATTGTTAGAGATCGTTTGGTTGTTTTGTAGATGGAAAATATGTATAAAAAAATGATGTCAAAGCCTGGAAATGAAATTCTTAATTTCAAAGGTTTTGAACTTGTTTGTGGAGTTGAGAAGTATCATTTATTTCTAACTACATACAATTAAATTCTGGAGTCTAAAAAAATCTTTGTTTCTGATAACATTTTCAAACTTCAACCACCCAGATAAGCCCTAGGGGAAAATTGTCATATCAAATTGATTTTTTTAGTCAATATGAACATTTTTTAGTTATAAAGAGATATAAGCTGGCATTACCAGAAGAAAGCGGAAGAAATCTATTGGGGTAAGTTGACTTGAAGTTGAGGGGCCGGTAAAAAATCAAATCAAATTTTGTCTTAATTTGAGCTTGGTTTGAAATCAACAAATCAACTAATGACTCAGTCTTGCATCAGATCTAATTAGAATTGTGTTGTTCATGGATTGGATCAAGCCAATTTGACAATAGTTCTAACCGTACAGTAATCTATCTTGTTAATGCTCATGTGCAGCTATGTTTGTGGGTGTTTGCTTCTAGTTTGGACTAAGAAAATTGCCTTAAAATATGAAAATTCATCAAAATCGAATTGATTTTTAGTCAAAATGAGCTTGAGTTTGAATCAAAACAATTGTGTCAAGTTGTGTGCAAATCAAGAACAAATCGAGCTAGCTTATAAATAGGTTTGACTTGACTTAAGATTGGATCAGATCATTTTGAGCTACTTTGAGCCTAGATTAGGTCAAATCACTTATAAACCGAATATGGTGTTGTGGTTGTAGAACACAACAACGACAACATCAAACCTTTATCCCACGTAGGGGTCGGTTACATGAATCATTTTTCTCCATTGTGTCATATTAAAAGTCAAATTCTCGTTTAAAATTAATATTGCACTCCCCATATAATTTTTTTTTTTAGTTTTTATAATAGTTTTGTTTAATTTTAATTTTAAATGAAAGTAGGTTTTATTTTGAATTTATTGCCACAAAAATCACACACTTTGGATTAAAAATGAAATTATGGCTAATTTTCAAAGTTTAATACATAAAAACTATTTTTTAAAAAGGATTTATTAATTAAATAGTCGATGGCGACGGCGGGCCACGTGTCAACTTCCTATTCGGCGAATCAAACTAGTGGCAATGATTGCGTGGCAGCGCATTAACTGCTTGTGATTGCGCCGCCGGTAATCATTAACATTTAATGCAACGACAGTGGCAGCTATGCGTTTTCCACTAATTCACATCAGCACGCCTTTGTTGTAGTTAAATCTTTCGCAGTTTAGAGCGGACGGCTGTGATGCCATCGGACTGAGATCTACACAACCAAGCGCACAGTTCGGATAAGCGGTGGAACTGCACGATCTGAGCTGTTGATTTAGAAATCAATGGCTCAGAAAATGTACCATTCATGCATGAGATGGTTTAACCCTAGATGGTGAAGAATGGTTTGTTCTTTGAAATAACCAACCAAACTTTACAAAATTTTAAACAGAGCTTAATGGGATGTTATTACACGACGGGTAAGTGATTTCACATTTTGAAAAGCGATTTTCATGAAGTTATTTAAACCTATGTAAATCTAACTAGGTTTAGGGATTAACCTCTATTCAATGGACCTAAACGCTTATTTTGCTTGTTGAGAAGTCTAGAACAATTCTATAGAAGAATTAGATGCTGACGAGGTCCAGATCATGAGCTTTGGACGTTGAACGGACTTTGGGTTCGGTGTGGTCGGAATCTCGCTGTCGGCTAGCTTTGACCACCTGATTTGGACTCAAAAAGTGTGAAGGAATGTGTGTAGAGCTGAAACGAAATAGGAATAGGTCTTGGGAGGCTCAGGGTAGTGAGAGAGTGTGTTGAATCGAATGAGAGAGAGTTTGGGTGTTTTGGCCTAATTCAAACCCTAGGGTTCCCTTGGATGGATGTGATTGCTTTGGATGTATTCTTTGATGTTTGCCAGGTGTCTCTAGACAGTAAAGATTTCGAGCAAGGACCTGAAACAAGGACAATGAGGTGAAAAGCCATTTTTGTCCTAATATGCACATGGGTTTTTAGGGTTGCTTTAGGCCAAATCAACAGCCGAGTTGGGTTTAGGCAATGCTTAAGAACATTCTAGAGATTATTTGAATAGTTGAAATAGGCATTCATGGAGGAAATTGGAAATTGGAGGTGGTTTGACTCCATAGGCTCAATTGGTGACTTGGTTGACTTGTACCTATGCCCTAGCATGTACTTTTCATTACACCTGAAACACAACCCCTTTACCCTCTTCTCCTGTATCTCCTTCTTAGTCAGTTTCTTGAAATTTTCCCCTCCTCCGGCTCTCTCCTTAGGCACTTCCTTCTTGCTCCCTGGTGCTGGTCCCTTGGGAGGTAAAAATGTGGTTTTCATCCTATACGATCCCCCTAAGTTGCTTCCCCTAGCCACTCTCTTCATCTTCCTCTGTTATTTCACAAGCTGTGCCAACTTCATGGCTTTCCCAAGATTCCTTGGCTCCAAGACTCTGGTTGTTGCCCGTATCTCCAGTTTGAGCCCTTTCATAATTTTTTCCTTCAGTGCTGTCTCTGAGATATGATCTAATCTGCTGGCCAAATACTCAAATATGTCGCGGTAGTCGGCTACGGTCGCCTCTTGAGTCAAGGCAAAGAATTACTCATAAAAGTCTCCTCCTCTCTCGGTTCGAAAACATTATAGTAAACATTCTTTGAACTCCCTCCAATTTCGGATGGGCTCCCTCCTTTCACGCCATTGATACCATGCAAGTGCCTTTCCTTCCAAACACAATCTTGCCGCCGTCAGCTTCGCCTCCTCCATCAACCCACTGACGGCGAAGTATTGTTCCACTTTGTATATCCAGCCATGGCCATCCTCACCCTCAAAGACGGTCATCTTCAGTTTTCTCACCCTTGGATCACTCCCGTTCCCCCGAAATCCTCCATAACCTCCCATTCCCCGAAAGGGAGGTGCTCCCCACTTTTCACGGTCCTCTCTTCTGCGATTATGCCCAAACCCTTCATCGTACTCCCCCTCCTTCCTCTAAAATCAGCAATCCGACGGTAGAATTCTTCCCTTGTTCAAACAAAATCAGCACCCCTCCTTTCATATCCCATACTCATCTCTTCTCTAGACACCAGTTCTAGCGGAGGCATTCCATTCTCTCCCTCGAGAACCTCCACTTCCGAATTTTTCTTCCCCCTAAATGGGTTCGGAAAACCTCCCCTTCCCTGGACGCCGGTGGTCTCCTTTGATTCCGATGTTGCCGGTTTTTATTTGTCTTCAAGCATCTTCTTCATCAAATCTTCCAAAGCGGCGAATCTTCCATCTATCTTTTCATGAACGACCACAAATTGACTTTGAAAATCTGAAATTTTTTCCTCAAAATCTGTCTTCAATTGACCTATTTCTCCCTCCAAGACTTTAACTTTCCGTGCGGCCCTCCGACGAAGCACAAAAAAAAAAACTTTTGTGTGAGCAAAAACTGCTGAAATTACAAAATCTGATCCTCCGATGGTCCTAAGACAGCGCTCTGATATTAATTTGATAGGAAATACTTGAGTTCGCAAGTAACCCTAAGGTAATACTTGAGTTCGCAAGCAACCCTAACCCAAATTGATGAACAAACAACAAGGAAACTGCTGTTTGCAGCATTAAAACAGCCCGAAGACAGTGGAAAACAGAGAAAAACTGAATAGAATTCTGAGGAAAATCAAGCCAACCACTTGTATTCTACTAGTTGATGAATAAAGACAGCAACAATACAAGATTCTTCAATTCGAGAGGAAGAGAACTCTCCAAAATCTCTAACCAAGAAGACTAGAGCTCAAGCCTCCAAGAAGATCCCAAATTCAGCCAAAATTCAAGGTGAAACCCTAAATCCCCCTTAGCCCCTAATTAACTCCAAAGCCCCCATACAAAATCCCTAAACAACCCTTCTATTCAAAATTTCCCCCCCTTCCATTCAAAATTTTCCTCCAACGCTTGAATTAAACCCAAGCTTGGTCCCACATATGATTTTTTCCCTGATCTGCACAACCGTTTTTTGATGTGTGCTCATTTAAACCCACGGAAAAAAAGAAGCATGCGAAGCAATAATCTGTGCAAGCACATTAGTTACCCATGTTCACAAAGAGGCTGGAAGAACGTTAGCCAAAATAAATGCTAATCACCCAACAAGCTCATTCACTCTTTTAGTTTTTGAAATGATGGTGTGGCCTATCTCTTTACATTTGAACTAAATAAAATTTAAAGATACGCCCATGGAAATCCCATCCATGTATTCGTAAACCAATGTGCTTCCAATAAGTATTAAGTATATTTATGGCTTGCCTATCGAGTGTACATTCTACATAATATGATAATTTATACTGTGTATACATAATCTGCATGTGTAATTCTTGAAGATTCACGTGTCAAAGAATAGAAAACAAGAAAAATGCTATAATTTGCTTTATTTACTAGGCTCATGCATCAATCTCATTAATTATCTGTTCTACTTTCTCTTTTGCAGGGAAAAGTTCCACTTCTATCGATTGAAGCAATCCATCAACTTCATATTTTTATCTTTGTTTTGGCCACAACTCATGTGATTCTTAGTGTTCTAACCATGCTCTTGGGAAGTGCAAAGGTAATTAAAATCTACATATGTTTTTTATTTGCACACATCCTTGAGTTCATAAGTAGATGGAATTAAGAACTTGGTGCTGTCTTTAATATGCTGATGATAGCTTCATTTCACATAGATACGCCAATGGAAGCACTGGGAAGTTTCCATCCACAAAGAAACTGTGGAAAATGGTATTTACTATTTGCCCTGCTCTCCATACTGGCAATGTCATATATGTCCTATCTGGTTCACGCCACATTTTCTGTTTGGGACAAAAATTACATACATACCACTTTATTTCATGCTATTTACATATTCAACACCTAAAACATTAATATTACATGCCTACCAATAATATTACATGCCTATGGTAGGCATGTAATATTAATGCTTTAGGTATTAGACATAATAGCATGAAATAAAGTGACATGTATATAAATCCCCCAAATATCATTACTTTTCGTTTGTACATGCTGAACAAGCAATTGTATTCTTGCAGCTTCTGCCCCAGCGATCACTCATGTTCACCAAACTGAATTTGTTAAGGGCCGCTTTCTTGGCATTGGCAAGGATTCTGTAATATTAAGTTGGCTGGTAAGTTATGATGTTATTCTGGCCGTAAGGAGAACTGTATCTCTACTCTTTGATTTCTATCTTAAATTGTTTCATGTAGTTCAACATTGTACCTGTACAATGAAGCTTCATTTGATTATCGTGAGTAACCACGAATATGATGCTACTGAAATGGAATAATGAATTTTTTTTTTAAATCTTTTGATTATTTTTTAAAACAAAATTCATTGTTTGGAAAGTGAGAATTAAGAAACGGTTTGTGTTGTGTCTATTAATGTCTTGATCGTAGCAACTTAGGCCTAATTTTGAATTGTTTTAATTTTTATTTTTTGTGTTTTTTATTTAAAAAAAATGGTTAAAATCATAATAATTCGGATTGTTTAAGAATAAATTTCTTTGTTTTAAAAAGGTGCTGAAATAACTTAGAGTTATTTTTTATATTTTCAAAATATATTTTTAAGAAGCTGTGAAAAGTAACTGGCACTTCACACAAAAAAAAGGAAAAATAATGGAGGATTGTCAGCCACTGGAAAAGCTTCGACTCTGCCTTCGACTTACAATCACCGGCATTTGCAACCAAGATTTCCCCGTCGTCAACTTGCATCTCCTCGTTCCAGATTCCAGTGATGGCAACATATATTCTCATCTCCACCAATCATACCAAGATCGAGACCGCAATCTTTTTTATTTTTTAAATTATAAATACATTAAAAACAAACTTATTTTATTTCATCTTAAAATATAAATAAAAAAACAAAAATATCCCAAACGGCACTTAGCTACTATAGCCATACATAAACTATTGGTTGATTTGGCTTCTTCGTTAATTCTGCATTATATTACCTGTTTTCTTTAGAACTAAAGATGTTGATATGTCTATTTCTATGATTTATTCAGTATTATTCCTTGTATAATCTTTGAGATAAACATATCCCCATTGATTTGATTCTTGTTTCAGCATTCCTTCTTTAAACAAATTTTTGGATCAGTAACAAAATCAGACTATAGCACAATGAGGCTTGGATTCATTATGGTAACTACCTTTTTAATTATATATATTACTCATTCTGTGATTTGATTACAGTTCTTACTCTTCTCTGATTTTTTTCCTCTTCAAGTATACCAAATTTTCATGTAAATTTTATTGACGTTGATATCCCTTATCGTGTAGGCTCATTGCAAGGGTAACCGCAAGTTTGATTTTCACAAATACATGGTTCGAGCCCTTGAAGCTGACTTTAAGAAAGTGGTTGGTATTAGGTAATCTTGCTCATGACCCTTTCCTTGAAATTGGAGTCTTTGCTCTTTCATAACAAACTATGAATCACAAACTTTTTTAGAAGGCCATCATGTCATGCTCAGTCATATTGGAAATAGTAAACCTGGACATCATAAACTCACTACGTTGGGCGCACCAAGTTGGTCACACAAAAATCTTGTTGGACACCATTTGGTATCATATGGTTTCCTTACAGAATGTTAATTATTATATGTCTAAACTATTCTGTTAACCACATGCTCTAGGAGCTTTATTTTCATTGTTTATACATTTTTGGATTGCTCTGTCTATATCTATTTCCTGTTCTTTGTTGGTGTCCATGCTTCATACATATACAATTGGATTTTTATCACTAAGGATGGTGCAAACTGTGTACCTAGAAAGTTTTTAATGCAAGTGACTATTAGATTATTATTCAGTGTACCATGCAGCTTATGAAATCCTTATACTCGTGGTTCTCTTTCCCTGCAGTTGGTATCTCTGGATTTTTGTGGTTATTTTCTTGTTGCTGAACGTTGGAGGTATGCTCAACCTGAAGCCATTCCCTTTTTATGTTACAACCTGATGGAAAAATATTGCATCAGGAGCTCCTAATACAAAAATCCATCAAGAGTGCAGGACATTTAATCAATACAAAAGGGCATCTCGTAAAAATACTGATTTTTAGTGTTCTCTTGTAGTTTTTATAAAATGTCTTGCTATTTTGATTACATGTCCTGCACTCCTAATGCATTTTGGTGTGAGGGGTTCTACTTCAATTTTCTTCCCATTTTAATTTTCTTTTATGCTGATTAATAAACTGCAGTTGAGGTTACATTTGACAAGTTTCCGCCATTTGTCCTCTCATATTGAAATGAAGTTTCAATATGATTTTCCTTTCTGAAGTTTCAAAGATCATTCCTGATAATTGTATTTGATCCTGATTGCTAATTATATCATGAGAAAATTGCGACATTGACGAGAAATAAGTTCAATATAAACTCAATGCAAAAAAAGTACAGAATACAATGATTTCATTCACAAACTGGCTCATATTGTATTGTAACCAACATAGGAAACGGTAAACCAACAAAGTGTGTAGTTTTTAAGGTTTTGGTTAGTTCCTCGAGTAAACACAAGACTCTAGAATAAGTTGCACACATCAAATTCATTTGATGGAGTTTTCAGTTTCGCTGATGTGTGCAAAGTGATTTTCACAAATCTTGGTATTAGGTAATCTTGAAGGTAAGCTGAATTCATGTTTAGAACTAAAGCAGGTACTCTTTTGAAGCTAATACATGTTTCTTAAATACAGCTTGCCTAATAAGTTGCACACATCAAAGTCATGTTTCTTGAAGGTAAGCTGACTTTAAGAAACATGTATCAGCTTACCTAATACCAAAGCAGTTTGGTTTAGAACTAAAGCAGGTACTCTTTTGAAGCTTACACAATCTTAGAATTAATTCATGTTTCAAGATTTTCTAAATTATCCCATTCTTTTAAAATTGAGCTCAATACCTGAATTTTAAGACAGACGAAACTCTGGCTTCAGCCAATTTTCTCTATCTTTAGGTTACGTATCTGAATTCTTAAGCATAGTGGATGCAACAATGAATGATGACTACTTTGCAAAGAAAACATAGATGAATGTGAACAATAGAATATATTGCCTTGTAAGCAAAGAGGGCTGACTGGCGGAACGAGCCAATGTAATTCAATTGATTTCTGAACCTAATTTAGCAAAAACGTGGGTTAGGTTTTACTTTGCTTTCTCTTTTTTGTTGATGTTTTTATTTTAAACAAGAAGAGGGGGTTGATTGTGCGAGGAATTTTAGAACGGGGTGCTTACTATTCACTGTGAGAGAGTTTGGCTGAATTGGATGGGGTAGTAGCCACAATGCTGACTGATTTGAATCTAGAGAAATGTTATTGGAAGATCGGAAGGGTGCTGTTGTGTGGAATGAATTGCATGGATCTCGGTTTGGTGAGGGGGAGTTTTCTCGTAAGGATGAGGTAAGAAGCTACAACTATAGAAAAATGAGAGGTCATGGGTATTAGTATTTTGGGGAGTTTTACGTTTTATAATTGGGTAGTATAGTTCTAGTTTTGTTAGGATTTGAAATTTTAGAAGGCAGAGGGTGGTCATTATGAAGGTGTATGATGTTGTGCGAATTTGGTTTTTTTGGTGGGATCCAGATCTTTTTGCTGATGATTCAGGATGATCTCTCACTCCTAGCCCAATAGACTAAGATTCATCCTATAATGTTGAACTGACTCAAGGTGTAGCGTTTAATGTCAAATTGATCTAGTAATAGTCCCATCTATGCCAATTGGATCAAGGTTTTGTCTCACTTTGGTTCTATGTATTCATGTGGAATCATTACCAAAGGCTAGTTCCAAAAAACAATTTAATTCAAATGTAATGGAGTGCCATATCACCATTGAGAGCAACATTATCAAGGAACCACATCATTAGAAAAGTGTCACATCATCAAAGCCTCAATAGCTTAAGGTGGTTCGTTGCCATCTCATGGTCGTCTAATTGTGAAGGTTCCAATCTATTGATTTTCTTCTTCTCTTGTCCTTTTTGCAATGGATCGTTATAGATTTGTTATTCAAAACCTCAAGGACTTAAGGTGGTTGGTCAACATCCTGTCCTCATATAATTGTGAAGGGTCCTTTATCCTTTTTGCATGGTTATGGATTTGTTATTCCTCCTGATTTAATGTAAGTTGCTAACAACCTGTTAGGTTTGAAATAAAAATTGAAAAAAAAACTCTTAGATTTGAAATAAAAGCTGACACTAGTTATTTCTAGTATATTATACTTTATGGTTTTAAATATGGAGCTTTATTCAAAGCCTTTGTAATTAAATTCAGTAATAAAATTTTCAAGTTGCTATCACTCTCGTTAAGCCCTCAATCTACTCCATTATTGCTCTTTGAAGGTTTGCCTCGCTCAACCTAGAATGCTATGCCACTCACGATTTACCAAACCCTCTCCTAATCTTTTACTATCAACTGTTTTATAAGGGAATACAAAGGTCACAACACGAAGAATATAAGGATTACCAGTTCTCTTAAAACCTCAACTAATCCTTCACCATCTCATTTTAAATCACTTCCCCAACATTTTCATTTGTACTTGATTACCTTAAACTCTACCATAAAGCCTTGACAACAATATCATGCATAAAATAATAATAATAATAATAATAATAATAATAATAATAATAATAATAATAATAAAAACAATATCATGCATCCTAGCTCCTCTTCAAAACTCAAAAGTCCATTCACTCGTAAAATGTTTTATGGTTCTTCAATCGTCTTGCATCTAAAGCTTCAGTGAGATACACCCATATCATCACACAAGTTTGGGATTAACTGATGCAAGCATATCAAACTTGCGTTGATTGATGGTACGTATGATTTTATTGAACTTAAGTGGCAGTGACTTCTACAAATTGGAGTGCAATAGGTTTATGAGTTGATTGAACCTTTGCCATAGATTAACTCATATGAAAACTTAAAACTTTCCCAAAGCTTGATCCATGCTTTGACGCCAATTGATGGAGACATAGATAGGGGTGGCATCGAGTCCATTTCAAATGAGTGACCAAACTCAAATCGAAGATTTTAATTTTGACTTAAGCCATTCTAAAGTTGATTCGACAATGTTCAATTCCAAGTTGAATTCCAAGGTGATTTGAGTAAATTCTTTTGATTTTATGAAACATTTTTTTAGCACAAATTATGATTATTGTTTTTATAAAAGTATTCAAAATATATAAAATATAATTGCATATTGTTGGGGAAGTAAGCCACACAATGAACACAAACAATAAATAGAAAATTTAGCAGCAAAAAAGTACACCAAGATTTGATGTGGAAAAATCCGAAACAAGGAAAAAACCACGAAGCCACACCACATCAAGAAATTCACTATAAAAATTTGAGAGAAATAGTACAAATCGCTTTTCTCTCTCGCTCTCTCCTTATTCTCTTTACCCTTGCACCATTCTCTTACAAACAAACAAAGAGAAAAACATAAAAAATCACCAAGGGATGCAACACTTAATGAAAAATAAGAAAGAAAATTGCTTGCCCTTTTCGCAGTGCCACGACGACAGATTTGGAGTGCCACGATCCTCAACTCTCTTTCTCATGTTTGCCTGACAGCGTTGCAGCGCTGTACGATTGTATGAAAAAAAAAATGGATGCAAGATACTCAAATCCAAGGGGAGGACCCTTTGCAACCCCCTAGCGAGCTCGACAGACTGAATTGAGGTACGAGGCAATAGCATAATCCAATTGATTAACACAATCATATTTCACACAGAACTAACACACACACACACACACACACATATATATATATATATAATTTTAAATACATACATACATAAATGTGTGTATTTGTATTAATACGCATAAATATTTCCGAATATCATATGTCGAGTTTAAGTGAATTTATTTGAGTTGGGCCATTTCGATTTTGCTTTTGAGTTGATTAAAATTCTAGCGAATTTCAAACAATTAATAGCCATACGTGTGGAAAATGTGGAGGTTTATCAGCTCTTGAGCGTGGAAATGCCTATGTTAGATGTCTAGATTGGGGTTTATGTAAGAAAGAGGGCTTCTTCAGGACTTCAGGTCATTTGAAGGGATAGTGAAGGAGGTTGTGGCATTAATATAGTGGTATATTATCATTTATCTGACCTTGCTTCCAATAGCTCTTTGCGGAGGAGAGAGAGCATCGTACTATTCCAATGCGAAATAATAGGGCTGGCAAGAAATTCATTAGCAGCAAGGAATTTATAATTTACTAATAGCCAGTAAGAAATAACTTTGAGCAGTCCATAACTAAAAAGTCAAACTAAGGTCCAATTACATAAATGACCATCATAAATTAAGCTAGCTTATTTGTGTGCTCGTTCTGCTTTAAATTAAGCACCCACTATTTTTCAAATCTCATCAACATAATGAACTTTATCAAAAACACCAGGTCATATTCTTGCAGCACCCAAACAAAGAATTTATATCATTTTAGTATTATATATTATCATTGAGAGGAACGAACTATCAGAAAGAAACCCATCCTTTACTATTTTCCGCTTGCCTAGAGGGACAAAAGAAACATCTTATTTTTTCTTTAACAATTTATGATCTCTATTGGACCTTTCAGTAGGATTCGAACCTAGATGAAATTCTGATCATCTGTCAGAGAAAAAATAACGAATTGATCTTGTAGGATTTTCAAGAAATTCTTTGATTTCTTCTGGATGCAGATGATTATTCATTTGCTTCTCAGGTTCCATGAATAGCTAGGACATGAAGGAAGATCCAAAAAGGCATTTTAGGAATCGATCTGATTCTATCTCTGTTCATTCAATTTGAAGAAATGAATGATCCCAAAGAATCAATCTCTCTTTTACTTGCTGAATCTCTATTTGATCGACCAATGTGTGATATTCTGAATTCTCATTTCTAACGGAATTGAAATGATCTTAGGATTGATCAGAAGATCATTTCCATTAGCTAGAATTCGTTGCTTGAATGAAAATAGATATTGTGGGATCATATTGAATATTTGATAATACATTTTGTACCTTGCTAAAAACCCAATCCTTGTTATCAACCACACATTGTTTAACCAAATCCCACTAAGGTTGGTTATTATATTTTAAAACTGGTGGATGAAGTTTTTTGCTTACATTATGAACTAATTTATTGCCAATTAAATGGTTCTACATGCATGATATCTTAGAAGGAGTGAGTTCTTTTAACAGTTGATGATATTACAATTTTACATGATAGTGGGGTTAGAATTTCTGCCATGTTGTCATATTGACGGGTTTTATTTAATAAATAAAATGATTAAGCGGACAGCAACTTTTTGTTATTTTGGGCTGCTGCTTTCTTCTCAAAGCAAATCTCTGCTTCTGCATAAATTCTCACTGACTTTGCCATATATATCTGCAGGGTGGCATGTTTATTTCTGGCTGTCATTCATTCCTTTGATTGTAAGTGCATTCTAAATATCTTTATGATATTTTTAATTTGGAGTTTCTGGTTATTATTGAGAATTTCATGTTGGCATATGCAGGTATTGTAAATTGTTAAATATGGTATACTATTCTTACACAATTTATCATTTATCATTCTTAGGCTCCTTTAAGACTTGATTTCAATTTATTAACCGTTTGTTAAGCACTTTTAAGAAGTAAATGAGATATTTTTTTTGTGTTTATCATTACTTAGATACAGAATGTGAAACAAGTATATTCATGAAAAGGTTGGAGTAGCTCTAGTGGTCGATAATATTAGAGTCACTTTAATTGATTTAATTACTTAAAATGTCGACATTTCGATGACCAAGTTAGGGGAGTAGATGTATTAGGTCTAGCTTATCTTAAGAAAGGTAGAGGTAGATTGTTATGCTTCTTAATCTTCATCAAAAAGAGGAAGTCACCTTTTGAGTAGGTGTGGACTTCTTAAGGAAGCAGGGAAAGAAGAGAGACTATAAAGGGAGAAACTAGAAATCTTTCATGTAATAACTTTTTTTTTTCAATAGGTGTATTTATAATACTTGGGTAGACCAATATAGAACTGGTCTACCTAAGACAATTAAAAATAGAATAAAAAAATAAACTAGTTCTTATTACATATGTGGACCCATTTGTCATTTATGTTGCCAAAACTGTAGTGTTGGTTGTACCGCCATATTTAATTTTCGGATATAATACAATATGCTGATGTATAACACTCCCATCGCCATGGAAAATAACCTTGTCCTGAAGGTTGAGAGAAGATGAAGAGAGAACTGCAAATTTTTTTTCATATGAGATAATCTAGTACTTACATCTGTGCCCCGGAGTATACTTTTCATTGCATCTGAAATAGAGCTCCTTCGCCCTCTTCTTCAGTAATTCTGTTTCTGTGAGCTTCTTGAAGTTGACCCCAGGTCTTCCTCCGACAGTCTTCTCCATCGAAGTCTCCCTAAGAGTACCCTGCGTTGGTTCCTTGGGTGCCCAAAAGGTGGTGTTCATCCTGTATGAGCCTCCTGAACTGCTGCCTCCTGCTTTTTTTTCCAGGTGCTCCTGATCCTCCACCAATTGAGTTAGCTCCATAGACTCTCCTAAGTTCCGAGGTCTTATCACTCTAACTGCTGCGTGGATCTTGGGTTTCAGTCCCTTCATAAAGTTCCCCTCCAGTACAGACTCTAGAAGCCAATCCAATTGACTGGCAAGGTACTCAAATTATTCGCGATACTCCATCATTGTTCCCTCCTACATCAAAGTGAAGAATTGCTCGTAGAAGTCCTCTCCCTTATTGGATTGGAAACGTTCCAATAGTCAATCTTTAAATTCCCTCCAGGTCCTTATTGGTCACCTCATATTCCTCCACTGGTACCATGCTAAAGCTTTCCCTTCCAAGCACATCCCGGCTGCCATTAGTCTCTCCCCCTCCGTCAATCTGTTGACGGTAAAGTACCTTTCCACCTTGTAGATCCATCTATGGGTATCCTCTCCCTCAAAAATAGGCATCTTCAGCTTCCTCACCCTCATATCACTTTCGTTCCCTATGTTCCCTTCATAACTTCCCCCTCCCATGGGGCTGGTTCCCTTCAAATGTCCCAATCATCCCTTCTATGTTCATAACCCATCATTTCTTCAAATTCCCACCTTCTCCTCTCAAATTCAGCACCCCTTGGATCATAACAAACCCTTCCCCTTTCAAATTCAGCCCCCCCTTTGGTCATAATTACCCATTTCCCTTTCCAATCTCACCCCTCTCCTCTCCAAAACAGCACTTCTTTGTTTTTGCCCTACCTCCTCATGCCTCTCCTCATACCCTCTACACAGCTCATCCCTAGGAATAGGCTCTAGGAGAGGTATTCTCGCTTCCCCCTTTCGAGTCACCACCTCTTGATCTCCTATTTGTTGGATTGGTTTAGGGTTTTTCACATCTCCCTGGCTATCGGCGCGTTCCTTCCCCTTCGACAGTGATATTTTGGTTTGGTCCTCGAGAAATTTCTTCAACATCTCCTCGAGGGTGGAAAATTTCAAATCGATCTTATCATGAATGGCTGAAACATCTTTTTTTAAATCTGAAACTTGAGTTTGGAGATCTAAAATTTCAGATTTTATTTGTCCAATCTCCACTTCAAGTTGTTCCTGCAACGCATCCATTTTCTTGGCTGCCATTAATGCCTAGATTTTTGTTGAAATAAAAAGCTGGACTTTGACCTTCAAAAATAGTAATTTTCTTCTTCGAAATCCGAAGAACAACCATTGAAATTCACCAAAACAGCCCACCAAAGGTCCCAAAAATAGCTATGATACCAATGTGATAGGAAACCCTCCACAACAGTGAAAACTGCTATTTCCAGAGAAAAACAGCAATAATATAGCAGAAAACCCGAGAAAATCAGTAGAAACAGTGGAAAATCTGAGGGAAAAATACTTGAAATTCACTAGGAGAAGAAGAGAAACAACAAGATACAATTGATCCTCTATTTGAGACACCACTAGAGCTCAAAAGAGAACCTAAATCTAAGAGATCTCAAATTTTGGCCAAATTCAAGATGCCATAACCCTAGGAAAATAAACTATTTAATGCATACAAATCAAAAGGAAATCTCTAAACAATCCTTACATTCAAATTTCCCTCCCAAAACCCTCAAAAATCCTTCCTAAAATGTTCGGAAGGCTCTTGCGGTTCGAACGGAATACTAAAGAGGTAGAAATCTTCCGCCTCTGTTGCATTGGGCCGGTCCCGTGTGGACTGACTTGACCGGTCTAACCCAATTCCAAGAGATCCTTACTGAAATTCGCAAGTCTCCTGTATTTCCTATGATGAAACCTTCATGGATTTGCATCTGTAAGCATCTTTATAACTCCGATGCCAATTTCATTCATGCGTAGGCATAAGTTTAATTAAATCTATGCATTTTTACTCTATGCCAGAAAATTATACTCTTTTTTTTACAAAAAAAAAAGACAAAATTCTGTGTTATATTGGTTGATTGCTTTGGTAACGTGTATGTGCTTGCAGCTTCTGTTCACCGTCGGTACCAAGTTGGAGCATATCATCACTCAGCTGGCTCATGATGTTGCTGAGAAAAACACAGCCATTGAAGGAGACTTGGTTGTTAAACCTTCAGATGATCACTTCTGGTTCCATCGCCCTCGGATTGTCCTCTTCTTGATTCACCTTATCCTCTTCCAAAATGCCTTCGAAATTGCATATTTCTTCTTCATACTGGTAAGATGCAGTTTTATTTTTATTAGCCATGGTTATAATGGTTTGGTTTGGGAACTATATTTCCTCCCATAGATCTTTTCATCATCAAAACTATACTGATATGGTGTTTGATGGAAAATACTTCATGTTTACAGGCAATTTATGGATACCACTCTTGTATAATGGATAGTAGCGGATACATCATTACCAGAGTCTCAATTAGGTAAGAATCCAAAGACTTCTCTCATTTTGCATACCAAAAAACTTTCTGGACCCCTTTTTTGTTTCAGACCACTAAACAATCTATGAACTTCCTTGTTCTTTTTTGTGGATAGTGTTGTTGTACAGATCATTTGTAGCTACAGTACCCTACCTCTTTATGCAATTGTTACACAGGTGACTGCAATCTTACTTGCTTGAAGACTTCGTCTGGGATGGCTTTATTACTACTTTTTAAAGCAGCTTTTTAATACAAAACTTTTAATTTTTGTACTAAAAAGATGCTTCAGGAAGCAATAAGAAAGCCGTCTCAAACGAAGCCTAAGTTTACTCTAGATGATTAAATGGCTTAAATGTGACATTTCTTCTTTGGTTTAAGATGGGGAGCTCATTCAAGCCAGCTATTTTCGAGGAACACGTGCAAGAGGGTCTTGTCGAATGGGCACAAAAGGCGAAGATGAAGGGAAGAAGGGCAACCTCCTCTGTGAGTACTAGACCAAAACAAGAGGGGATTCAGCTTCAGAAGGTTTTTACTCAGACGGACCCTCTCATGCAAGAGAGTCGAGTTGAGATTGTTGAAGTTGATTCAGGATCAAACATGCAAGACAGGGTAAAATAACAACCAATTTATCTTCATGTAAATCTTAAGCTATCTTTTGTATATGGTAATTTAGTGTTCATCACATCATACCTACCAAAATATAGATAAACAAGATGATTCTACAGGTGTTTCAAAATTTTGTAGATTAGAAGGAAATTAGGAACCAAACAAACTATGTTTATTCAGTTTAAACTCAAGTGCAGTGTTCTTCAGACCATACAATTCTTGTTAAAAATACATGTTCAAATCTTTCGAATGCTTTCAAATCTCATCTTCTTCCCTTCCTCTTCTTGATCTCAAAGTAGAAAAGCCCTTCATACAGAGCAATTCCCAGAATGTTATGCATTTAAATGAAGATTTAAGGAGTTCACTAGCAGATCAAAGCTCTGCTTGTGAAGAAGAACATCTACAAAATTGATAGACTCATCTTGGAGTCTGAAAATTTTCTTAGTTAGATTACAATAAGTCATAAGTTGAATTTCTGGGTAACTTGGTAAGTTAACTATTGAGACATTTTTTGATAATTTAAATACTTTAGTTGCTACCTTCTTAGCATCAACACCTTGTTGGAAAATCTTGTCTTGGAGGAAAATTAATCTTTTTCTTGAATGTGCAAGTGATGTATGGTGTCATCCTTAGAAGTTTCTTGTAATTAAGATCCAACTAAGTGGAGTGGCCTCGTTCGGACAGGAGAAATGGATGGAGGTCGTTTGTGATTTGCACTGAAGCAAGAAGTCATATCACAGTAGGCCCCTAGGCTGGCGGGATGCAGACTGGGGTCGTGGGCTAGAATGCGTGAGGGTGTTGGCTGGAGGGCTACGAGACAGTCGCACGAGCAGGGCCTGGGCGCGTGAGCTCAAAGCGGGGGCTGGGATCAGACCTGAACTAGCGGCTATGTCATGTGTGGGTGCTTGGTTGGCACGGGCGTGGGCAAGCAGGGGGCCGGGGTTGGGTCACAAGTGTAGTAGCTGGCGCTCCACAAGGCACAAGCATGCGGATCATGAGAGGAACAATAACGGACGCAGGCGTGCGTAATTTAGAACATGCGAGAGTGCAAGCTGGAGCTGTAGATTTGAATGCACAAGGGAGGTCGGGCACGAGCGGAATTGGGCTCGATTTGGCAGATTTGCTTGTGAAAGTTTGTGCAGTGAGCCGGTCGAATTGCATCATCTGTGGATTTAGAAAAATAGATGGAGAAAGAAGACACAATCGGTAGGTAAGTTTTGTCTTGGGCTGTCATTGTGATGCCCCAGATATCAATAGTGAAAGGATTCGTCTGATATTCTGATCGAACTCCATTCCAGTTGCCTTGCTCGGACCTGAAATTGTTAACCACATATAATGAGCTTTACAAAGCCCAGCAGGTCACCAAAGCCTACAACTGAAATCAAAGCACGGCGATGCTATCAATATGCATGTCAGTCAATCTAATCATATCAGTCAATGGTCAATGAATCTGTGCAATACGGAAATCCATAGTCAATAAAACCAGTCAATGCAGCGGCAGGCGAATCGATAAATCAATTCAATAAATCCATGTCAACCTCGAAGAAATCCGTACACAATAGGAACTCAATCAATCCGTCAAATCAATCGCTATCAAATTAAATCAATGCGGCCTAATCAATACTATCTATTCAATGAAATCAAACGAGGAAAGCAGTACGATAAATCTCAATCTATTCTAACAGTGAATCCATGCAGCAGTCAATACGGTGCAGAAACAATAACAACAGTGAATCTATATGCAAGATCAATAAATCTATAGGCAGTAGTAACAATGAATATCTACAAGCAGAAATCAATGAATCTATAGGCAACAGTGTCAATGATTCTATACTATTCATGTCCATGCTATCAATGCAATATCTATATCCATCCATTTCTATATCAATGCTCAATGTCGATGCACAGCAATCAATCAGTGAAATCAATGAAATCGATGCATATATACGCATATCAATTCAATCTATCAATTCCGGGAAAATCAAAAATCATACGAAAATCGGGCAGAGTAACGGCAGTCTATCAAATTTACACAAAAATCCTGCAAAAAGGCACAAATTCCAAATTTCTCCAAATTACAGTAGAATATCCACGACATCAATACAAGACTATTATTCTATAGAATCCAAATCAAATCAAGTCCTGATATTTTTCTATTCGATTAAAATCGCGTAGAATCAATTCTGACCGGTAAAATCGTCGTAGGAAATACTCAAATCGTGTACAATAGTCATATCTATAACATACCAAAAGTTGTGCGGTGAAAGTTGTGTCAAATCGAAATCATGTCCAAAATTCGACTACGAAAACACAAAACAATGCATAACTCGGTCAAAACTCAATATCTCTGAAAACAGAAATAGGATTCGGAGTCCTTACCACGAGATCTTCACTTTTCCCAACAGCGACGTCGGACGAAAAGCCCTCTGCGGCCTCCGAAACCAAGCTTTTCCTCTTTTCCCTTTCTCTTTCTCTCTCCTCAAATAAGATATTTTGTTTAAAAATGATTTTCTCTCTCCTCAAAACGAGCTGATTTTCTTATATCATTACACTGATCGGCCCGGCCTATCGCAAGATCGTCCCGGGACGATCAGACCAAAATCGATCATCCCGATCGTCCTGGACGGTTCCCAGAACTATTCTCAGGACGATATTTTGAACAGTACAGATCGTCCTGGACGATCTCAATATCGTCCCGGACGATCCTGGGAGGAAAATCCAAGTCAGAGAGGAACAGTAAGGGAATGAGGTCTCACAGTCATTGTGAACAGTAGGTGGGAGAGAAGCAGGATACAAAGAGGTGAAGACCGCCGTTTCAATAAAATACGTGAATCACCTCTTTTATAGTTACCTCACCCAATTGATAGTACAACTTCAACTATCTCTCACCAGTTTTCTTAGTCTTCGTTTGGGATAGCTTTTAGCCACTAATTTTTGCTAATTTCAAAAATATTTTGTGCTAAAAAGCTACTTTAAAAAATAATAAGAAAGTTGTTCCATATGGAACATTAATCTTCACTTTCTTCAAAGGTTGTTTCTTCATGAATGATGATTCCTATGAACAAGAGAGATTTTTGCTTAGCATCTACTCTATTGAATTTCATTTGAAGCTTTTTGAGGAAAACAAAGCCTAAAACTCTCTGAAATTTCATCTATGCAAGAAAATGAGCTTTGATATAACTCCTTCATAAAAAAATAATGATAATTGAGGCTCAAGCAATGTAGTAATGATTGAACTGTATTACCTAAATTTATAAATGTTGGCTCAAGAATAGATCAACCAATGAGTGCAACTTGAGGCACCCAATCTGATTTGGGCTTTTACATATTTTTTATTCTCTTTCCTTAGTTTTTAGCTTTGCTTGTTTTGGTGTGTTAGTAGAGAGAGTAAATGAATAGATGGACTTCAATTTTTTTAGCCATGGTAAACATACGAGCTTTTGCCATGACCGTAATTTAGTGGTGTTGCTTTATTGCAAAGTCATCCGGTCATTGCTTTTTACCTATGATGACATTTGATGGAAAATCACAGGTTGGAGGGCACGTGTCACATCCTTATTGATGAGAGACTGTTTGGAAATGAATTATGGGAATATGCTCGATAAGATATTTGCTATTTCTAAGCTGAGATTATTCTTAAAGTTATTAACATTAACAAACAATTGCGGAGAATGGATGAATTTTATTTTATGTTTTAAATGATAAATTTTGATGAATTTAATCAAGGTCTCAAGATTCCATATTCCTGAATTATCGTGGTCCCTAATATACTTAGTTGGAGAAGGTAATCGAACCAATTAGATCAAGGATTCTTGTTGGTTATCACGTGTTCTTTGTACAAGAGAATCTTATATATTTGATATAAATGTTTATTTAAGAGAGTAAATTTAAGTGAAACTTAGCCAATAAAGGACTTTGTCTTCAAGTGCACTCTATAATTCATTACTCAGATTTTTAGCCATGATATTCTTACTAGCTTTTGCCATGACCATAACATAGTGTTGTTGTTTTATGACAAAATCATCCGATTTTAATCGATTACCTATGATGCCATTTGATGAAAAATCACTGGTTGGAAAGCACGTGTCACATTCTTGTTAGTGAGAGACTCATTGAAAATGAATTATGATAATATGCTCGATAACATAATCGATTACCACAATATTATATCAAATTATCAAAGTTTCATTTGGGAGTTAGGATAGCTATCTTACTATTTTGTTAAAACAGTCTTTTACTACAAAAATTTTTTGAAAGCAACAAAAAATTTATGTTCAAAAGCGGCTCCAAACGAAGCCCAAATCACCTCCTTAAAACAAGAAGCAACAACAAAATTTTATTATATCTACACCAAAGAATTTCTCCAAGTTAGAACCATACAACTACTCAGCATTACCAAAAATAAACCAATTAGCAAACTATCAAGAAATCAAAGAAGCCAAAGATCTTCATGAAGAACGAACAAAGAGAGGTATGTGATGCTCCAACACACCCATTACCTCATTCAACTGACTCTCTTTGTTAACAGCTCCATTGGTGATCCTTTCTGCAATCTCCACAAGCTGCCCTCTAAGTCTCTGAGGCAACAGCCGACCGTTGGCCTTCACACAGTCCTTATACAAAGGCATGTATCCAATAGCCATCAGTAATGGCGATGGAAGACCCCTTAACCAAATGGACGATTCGCCTCTTCTCAGTATTCTCATGAGGTTCACGTAGTGGTTCTTCCCTGCCTTCATCCCCTCCCAAAAAGCTGCTTCCGACCACTGTTCTTGAAGAAAAACTTTGAGCAAATGAGCCAAATTTCCATCTTCAGATCGAGCAATCTTGTCTGCTACTGCATAGGTTGCAACAGAGTCGCCAAGAAAGTTTAACTGGAGGAGTAAAGAAACACCTTGGAGAGATGCGCCGCCGCCGCCTCCGCCGCCTAGATCGTAAGTAATCTTGATGATCTTTTTTCCTTTGGAAGTAAGCACAGGAAGTGGAATATGATGAAGAAGGTAAGTGGCAATTTGAACATGGTTGTTGGAGGCTGCAACAGCTAAGGCAAACACAAGATGGATATTCGGGCAGCCACGATTGACGAACCACTGAAGCACAGGGAGGCAACCTTGTCTAGCAGCAGAAATTAGTGGTTTTAGAAAGGAAGTAGCTTTCCCTTCCACTACCAAGCATTCCATGGTTCTAATTTTGACAAATTGGGAGGCATATTCAAGTGCCAGATCAACATTAACAGGTAAGTTTTTCTGCTGGGCAAGCTGAATAAATGAAGGAGAGTTGGTAAGAAGACAGAAAAATATACAATTTGCTTGTTCTGTTGTCTAAGCTTCAAATTTTTAGAAAGGAAAAAAGAAAACATACAAGAATATAAGAGTTTAATGTGGTTTAATAATGTTTCTACACCAATGAGAGGCAGCAAACTAATTATAAACAAAAGCATTCTTAGCTTTAGGGCTTTTGAGTGATGATTACAGAAGTTTATGAAGGAAAATATTCATATTCTTATATTAATGATCAGCCACTATTCAAGATTTCTATGATATCCTTCATTTAGAATTTTTTTATGATATGAAATGAGCCACAATTTTAAACATATCTAGCACATTGATTTATTATCAATCAGTCTATGTTCAATAAAGACTGATCATTGTAGAGGTAGATCTAAAAAGACTTGGTTAGAAAATATTAGAAATAATATTTCTTTATTAGATTTAAACGAGAATTTGACTTTTAACAGGACACAATAGAGAAAAAGGATTCATGTAGCCGACCCCATATAGTGGGACAAAGCTTGATGTTGTAGTTGTTGGGTGTTGGTGGTGTATTGTCTACCGGCTACCCTTTGTTCTACGTGAAAAGGTTGGGGTAGTTCAAGTGGAATATAAGATTAGAGAGAGTCACATTAAATGGCTTGGTCACATAAAACGGCGGTCTTTCGATGACCCGGTTAGGAAATTAGATGTATTAGATTTGACTTATGTTAAAAAAGGTAGATGTAGACTTAAAATGACTTGGCTAGAAAATATTAGAAATGACCTTTCGTTATTAGATTTAGATGAGAATTTGACTCTTAACAGTACATAATGGAGAAAAATGAATCATGTAGCCGACCCCACATAGTGGGATAAAGGCTTCTTGTTGTTGTTGTCGTCGTCTATGTTCTATAAACAAACATCATCTTCATTATCATCATTCCAACATTCTTCAAGCTAAAGAAGCGGGAAAATGTTAAAAGATTAAAGAACTATTTTGACTGTTCCAAATCAACATTTATATTACCATTAACCTAATTAGCAAATGAATCGAAGAAATACATGAGAAAGATGTGAAAAAAAATCTTGCAATTAGGAAAAAAGATAACTTGCCTGTAGAAAGATACGTACAAGTTCAGTACTGCCAAATTGAGTTGCTTCCAAAAGGCTTTGGTTGACATTATTTGCTCCACCCTCCACCAACATTGTTAGTAAGCTTACTAGCAAATAAGCTCCTCCTCCAAATTCCCAACCCGGATAGAAGTTTTGTATGTGAGTAAGAGGAAAGCAAGCTACTTCAAATGCCTCAAGAAAATCGTTTCTGGAGAGATTACTGCCAGCAATATTCAAGAATGCTTTAAATCCTAGAATCTGTAACCGGACATCATTGATATTGATTTTTTGACTGTTACCATCTGCTTGAGCTTTGAAAACCTCATCCTGATTCGATTTCTGAAATCGTTCAATCAACCTTTGGCAAAAGAAAGAAGAATCAAATCAATTGGTAAGGAAATCTGAACTAAAATGTGGCATCTTCATAACCAGACATTGAAGTCTCTACCTTCGAATCATGATAGCAGGATTACTTTTTAAGCTCATTGTCAAGCTCCCAAATACTGAAAGACAAGCAGCAAGAAAAGAAGATTTGACAAGAGCCTTTTTCAAATTTCCGGCACCATTAGAGACAATCATCTTGATCAGCCTAGTGATCTCATCCAGTTCGTGCCGACTTTTCAAAAACCATACAAACTCCACTGCTTTGCATAGAAAATCATTTCGGATTTCTGGTTCTGCTGAGAGAAATAGACTTTCAGCAATCTCCCAATCTTGAGATCTCATTGCCGCGTGAAACATCAGGCACTGTTCAATCCTATCTCCCATTAAGCTCGCATTGCTTCCTTCCCTGTCATTTAAACTTCTCTTCTTTGTCATCTGCATGTTTTTCCCTCCAACCTCTATTGCTCCAATCATTGAAACCTGTTCAAATTTAGGTAAGTAGTAACAGTTTCTCATAATTTTTGTCCAGCAGATGGATAAAAATCAAGTTTCAAGAAGTCGAGATCTAATTGAAATTTGGAAAAAAAAAACAATATATAATTAATTAATGGAGATACAGATAGAAGCAAGCTTACCGAGAGAGAAACCCTAAGGCCCGGAAGCAATTGATGAGAAATCGAACCCTGTCCCTTCAACGTCTCGCAGAGACAGTACAGAGGAAAAACAAAAAAGATCGAAGAGAAATAATCAAATAATTTACTCTTTCAAAGTATTTATATTAGGGATGTTCAGAGAGCAGTTTTGATTGGAGAAGTTGCTAAATAAAACCCTAAACTATATATGGAAAGAAATATAGAAGATTATTCTCTGCTGCATTCCTAAATTAAATGCGAATTTTGCGGAGAGTTATTTTCGTTTATGGAGAGGATGCCGCTCTGAAAAAGTAGTTGTCGAACGCTTGCGACTGCTTCTGAATGATGAAGCGGCCATTTCGCTCCAGCTTCATCTACCACAAAATTTTAAAGAGATAAATCGTTAAGGAAAACGCAACCGGTAGAGCGATGGCTAGGGCAGAAATTGAGGCGGCTAGGGTGGCCGGCCGGCAGGCCGGCGGTGGGAAGGTCGAGTGCGAACAGAGAATCGAGAGAGGGAGATAGGGTTGGTCGGCGCAGGCCGCGGCTTCGGTGGACTTACGAGCGACATAGCGAGAGGAGACAGAGCGCGGGGGGAGTTTCTGTTAGCTTAGAAATTAGTTTATTTATTTATTATTTAGGGTTTTTGTTTTGTTTTTTTTTTATTATTATGAAAAAAAGTTGGAGCCTGCTATATGTAATAGGCGATTTTGATTTTTTTTATCTTTTATTGTATATACATATATAAAAGTTAAAAAATATTAATTTTGAATTTGATTTCTTAGATTTAATAAAGTTAATTAATATTTATTGATCAATTTGCTAGCCAAGTTTTTGGCACTTGCGGGTGTTGAATTTGGTCTTTATTTTGCACGCATCGATGATTTTTTGTCATTTGTCTCCTATCGAAATCCCATCAATATGAGTGAACTTGCCAAGTCATTTTTGACTTTTGCATATGATAATGTGGTTGTTTTCACTAGCAGAGGATATTTCGATAATTTCATGCAACATCAGATTTGTAGTTCATCATTTTTAATTGAGTCTACTAAAATTGAATGTGAGGTGTCCTTCCTCGATAATTTCAACGTTCTGAATACAATGACATAATTTATTTCGTGAACAAACAATATTTGAGTGATTTTGCACAACATTGTGCTTTTAGGTTGTCGTTCTAACCGCTTTTGCTTGAATCGAACATTCAAATGCATTGGTCCTTTCTTAGTAATTCGATATACTGAATCTAACAATATGATTATTATCGCTCTGGAAAAATCTTAAAATAAATAGGTGTGAACCTTGCTCTTATGAACTTAGGGATTCCCTTTAATTTTTTTCTAGAGATATATTGAGTTTAATATTTAACCAGATTTCCCTTGAGAGTTGTCTCAGGGTTTATTTAGATATGGATTCTACTTCCTATGAGCGCATGCCTCATGTTTAATTATCCCTTCTAACACATTAGAAGAGTACTCTAGATTAAGGATAAAATATACTTAGCTTTGTGCAAGGCGTGTGAGAATGTGCAACAGAGTTTTAGACTTAGTTATGGGGGGATGAAGGTACACCTGATCAAGTTCTCATGGTTCAGTCATCTCATGTATATCGTGGGTTCAATCTACCAAGTGCTAATAACAATTAATTGTAGTGTCCAGGGAATTTGATTATCAGTCATGAGTTGCCACTTCGCAGGTTTCTCGAGCAGACTGAAGTGGAGATATATGGATTTTAATTTAGCTTAGTTTGGGTTGGGGCTTATGGCTTCCCTAGAAGTTGCACGTTAATTTATTTTGTTTGAAGCTTACGACTCCAATTAGGAGTTGCCCATATGATTAGATTTGGGTAGGGGCTTATGGCTTTCATTTGAAAGTAGCCTTAATAGTGAGTCTAACGACCTTTATGACCCAAAGATTTTGGGTATGAGTAGGTCTTATGGCTTCCTTAAAGTAGTCTGAAGATTTTTGGCTGGATAGATCTTATAGGAAAAACAAAAAAGATCGAAGAGAAATAATCAAATAATTTACTCTTTCAAAGTATTTATATTAGGGATGTTCAGAGAGCAGTTTTGATTGGAGAAGTTGCTAAATAAAACCCTAAACTATATATGGAAAGAAATATAGAAGATTATTCTCTGCTGCATTCCTAAATTAAATGCGAATTTTGCGGAGAGTTATTTTCGTTTATGGAGAGGATGCCGCTCTGAAAAAGTAGTTGTCGAACGCTTGCGACTGCTTCTGAATGATGAAGCGGCCATTTCGCTCCAGCTTCATCTACCACAAAATTTTAAAGAGATAAATCGTTAAGGAAAACGCAACCGGTAGAGCGATGGCTAGGGCAGAAATTGAGGCGGCTAGGGTGGCCGGCCGGCAGGCCGGCGGTGGGAAGGTCGAGTGCGAACAGAGGATCGAGAGAGGAGATAGGGTTGGCGGCGCAGGCCGCGGCTTCGGTGGACTTACGTGCGACATGGCGAGAGGAGATGGAGGTCAGGGGAGCTTCTGTTAGCTTAGAAATTTAGTTTATTTATTTATTATTTAGGGTTTTTATTTTTCTTTTTTTATTATTAAAAAAAGTTGGAGACTGATATATGTAATAGGATATTTTGATTTTAATTTTTTTTTCTTTTATTAGAGTGATATGTGTAATAGGAGATTTTGATTTTAAATTTTTTTTCTTTTATTAGACTGATATATTTAACAGGAGATTTTGATTTTAATATATATATATATAAGTTAAAAAAGAATAATTTTGAATTTGATTTCTTAGATTTAATAAAGTTAATTAATATATATTGATCAATTTGCTAGCCAAGTTTTTGGCACTTGCGGGTGTTGAATTTGGTCTTTATTTTGCACGCATCAATGATTTTTTGTCATTTGTCACATATCGAAGTCCCATCAATATGAGTGAACTTGCCAAGTAATTTTGACTTGCATATAATAATGTGGTTGTTTTTTCAAGCAAAGGATATCTAGGCGATTTCACGTAACATCAGACTCGTAGTTCATCATTTTTAATTGGGTCTACTCAAATTGAACGTGAGGGGTTCTTCTTCGATAATTTTAACGTTCTGAATACAATGGCATAATTTATTTCACAAACCGACAATATTTGAGTGATTTTGCACAACATTGTGCTTTTAGGTTGTCGTTCCAACCGCTTTTGCTTGAATCAAACATTCAAACGCATGAGTCTTTCCTTAGTAATTTCATGTACTAAATCTAATAGTATGATTACGATCGCTATGGAAAAATCTTAAAATAAATAGGTGTGAACCTTGCTCTTACAAACATAGGAGTTCCCTTTAATTTTTTTTTTTCAGAGATAGATTGAGTTTAATATTTAACCAGATTTTTCTTAAGAGTGGTGTTAGGGTTTATTTAGATAGGGGTTCTATTTCTTATGAGCGCAAGCCCTCATAGTTAATTACCCATTCTAACGCATTAGAAGAGTACTCTAGATTAAGGATAAAATATACTTAACCTTGTGCAAGGAGTGTGAGAACATGCAACAGAGTTTTAGACTTAGTTATGGGGGGATGAAGGTACACCCGATCAAGATCTCACTGTTCCGTCATCACGGGTATACTGTGGGTTAAATCTACCAACGTTAACAACCATTAATTTTAGTGTCTATGGAATCTGATTAGTAGCCATGGATTGCCTCCTCTTAGAGATCCTGGGTAGACTGAAGTGGAGATATGTAAATTTTTATTTAGTTTAGTTTGGGTTGGGCTTATGGTTTCTTTATAAGTTGCCCATTAATTTATTTAGATTGAGGCTTATGGCTCAAATTAGGAGTTGTACATATGATTAGATTTGGGTAGGGGCTTATAGCTTTCATTTGAAAGTAGCCCAAATAGTGGGTCTTACGGCCTTTATTAGAGGTGGCCCAAAGATTTTGGGTATGATTAGGTCTTATAACTTCCTTAGAAGTAGCCTAAAATTTTTTGGTTGGATAGCTCTTATTGCTTCCTTAGAAGTTGTCTAACAATTGGTCTAACGACCTAACCCTATAAGCTAAGTTTGCCGAAGTGATGAGTCTTATAACCTAGCCTGATAGACTATGATGCCTGAGTGAGGGGTTTATGATTATGTTATTACCTAAATATTTCTCTCATAGGTCGGACTTATAGCTTCTATTAGAAGTGGTCGATGTGTTGATTGGGTATTAGGAGTTAAGTTATTTTTATCTAAAGCTTTTCCCTAAAGTCGGACTTACGGCTTTCATTTGAAAGTTGTTGGGTGGCGGGTCTTACAACCTAGTTCTTATAAACCAGGCTGCCAAGGAGTTTTGGGTTTTTTTTTGGTATAGGGTCGTTCACTTAGAAGTTCCCTGACACACGAGTCTTATTGCTTCGCTTAAAGGTAGTCCAGGTGTGTTAATCGGGGGTTAGAGATTATGTCATTTTTATCTAAAGATTTCCTCTAAAGTCGGACTTACATCTTTCATTGAAAGTGGTTGGGTAGTGGGCCTTACAATTTAGTTCTTATAAACAAGGCTGCCTAAGTGGTTTAAGTTTTAGATTTAGAGTCATTCACTTAGAAGTTCCCTAATATGTGGATCTTACTGATTCTTTTAAAGTAGCATAGATGGCGAGTCTTATAATTTAGTCTTATAGGCTAAGATGTCCATTTGGGTTTGAATTTTTTATTTAGAGTCATTCATTTAAAAGTTCTCTTACCCGTGGGTCTTACTGCTTCACTTGGAAGTAACCCGTTGGTATTCCAGATGTATATTATTTAATGGATATAGTTATTGAGATAATTATATGTATTAATTACTGCTTCTATTAGAAGTAACCTATAGGACTTAGTTTAACGGGACTGTAGCTTTACACACTTCCCCACCTCGACACCACTTTTAGTGCTTCATAACAGTTTTACTACAATAGTCTGTTGTTGTACTTTAGCATTATCGTTTATTTGTTTCTACCACTTTCAACACTTTGTTTTGCCAATTTGTGAGTTTGTATATATACTGGACTAATAGAAAACATTTCATTTCTACACTTCATTTGATTTTAATTGTGTTAATTAATTAAATTATTTTTAATTGAAATTAATTCTTAAATTTAAAACCAATTGCTCGGCTCGTTAATTTGAATTTGAATTTAAATATGTTAAATTTGATTTGGTTATTAATCAATCATGTGAGTTAATTAAAAATTGAATTTCAATTTAAAATTTAATTTATTCAATTAAATTAATTAATCAATTTACTCATTTAATTAAGTGATTAAATTGATTGTGTTTTCTGATTAAAGTTTATTTGTTAATTAGTTATTTAAAGTAGATTGTGGTTTGATTAATCAATTTAATTAGTTAGGGTTCAATTTTTTTTTTTTTCAGTTGATTTTAATATGCTTGATCCAATTATTTAAATGATAAGAGTTTATTAATTAATTAAAAGAAGTTATTGTTTCATTATTCAAATAACTTAAAGATTTAGTTTTAGTTAATTGAGTTTTAGTTATAATTTTAATTAATTATCCAATTTATTCATTACTTATTTACTTTAGTAGATTAACTGCTTTAATTATACTTTATGTTAGTTTAGTTAATTAAAATTTTCTGATTTAAGTTTTAAG